GGGATAAAATATGACTCTAAAAATGAAAAATAAAAAATGTTTTTTTTTTTTTTAAAAAAGAGATTGATAAGATGTTGGTTGAAAAAGGGAAAAAGAAAAAAAAACAGTTAACAAAAATTAACTTTGATGAACTAATGAATCATGGTAAAAAAAAGCCATGAATTCTATGTGCAGTATTCCCCTAGCGCTGGAGTTTCCCCGTTCTCCTTGATCGGTAAACTTGGTCTTGGCTTGCTGGCTGTTCGGGTTGATCTTCTGGGGGAGGGGCCTGTTGCTATGGTTTCCAAATGTCTTTGCCAGAGGCTGAATTGCCCCGCCCTTTTTGGTCCGGGCTAAGCAAGCTGCTCGGGTTTGATCTCAGGAGCTTTTGTTCCCTGTAAGTTCTCGGTACAGCCTTGGAGGACCAGGGCAAAAATGGTGGCCTCCCAATCTCCACCCGGAGGAGCTGAGAACTCGGGGCCCCGCTCCTCAGTGCGCCCACAGAGAAAAGCAGTCACTCCCTTGTCCCCGGTCTCCGGCCGCACTCCGTGCTCACCCGGCCTGTGACCGAGCGTTGCTATCTCTGGCACCCGACCCCGTGTGGAGTCTCCAAGCCCAGCAGATCCCTGCAGTGCGTTCCCGCGCCGTTCCTCCCCGGGAAGGAAGGGGAGTCTCCCCGGATCTGCCACCTGTTGGGTCCCTGCTGGAGGAGCAGTGGCCCGACTGGGCCGCGGATCACAGTTTATGGCAACCCCAAGCTGAGAGCCCACATCTCAGCTCCGTCTCTGCAGCTGGCTTCCCCGCTCCGATCCCTGGGAGCTCTGGCGCACTCAGGCTCTCCCGGTCTTTCTGTGACCCCGAGGGTCCTGAGACCCCACTGTCCCGGGAGGATTCCACCCCCCGCTTAGCCACTGGAGCGACGTCCCTCAGCAGAGCCGACTTCTAAAAGTTCCGATTTTGTGCTCCGCGGCTCTATCACTTGCCAGAAGCGGCCGACGGAGGCCCCTCCCCCGCCGTCTATCCTCCTGAATATCGCCTCGGATTCACTTCTCCGCACGTCCTACCTTCCAGAAAGTGGTCGCTTCTCTGTTCAGAGAGTTGTTGCTACTCTCCTCTTTGATCTCCTGTGAGTTCGTAGGTGTTCAGAATGGTTTGATCCCTATTCAGCTGAATTCCTGAGACCAGACGAAAGCTAGGTCTCCTACTCCTCCGCCATCTTGCTCCGCCCTCCCTCAATCCATGTTTTTAACCACTCTTTCCACCCATATTCTCTCTGCAAGAAGCACATACCTAGGGAAAAGACACTACTGATTATATCTGCATCTTCACAATGACATTTTTAGAGTACAAATCAATCTTACTGAAAGGAATTTTGTATAAATAACACACATTCACTTAAAGTACATGGTTGGCTATTTGGTGACTAAAACATAAACTCTCACTAGGTCCTTGCCACAGCATCTGTATCTTTCACTCCTTTCTTCCTAGAACTTCTGGCAGGTTTGCCTTTGTGCTCTGAGGTCATGCCCCCCATGGCCTCATGGGGCAGAGATCCTACAGACTTGTCTCTATGTGCTTGGAGGACAGATACAAGGAGTGGCCAGTGTATGGAGAACTGTTGTTATGAGCATGTGGAAAGAGTGACAGATGACAAAGACTTTCAGTGTGTAACCCTTTAAGAAATGCACATAAGGACTTCTAAATACCACCTGGGGTGAAGAGCTCCCCATCTCCTCAGTGCTGTGGGAACTTCAGAGGAAGGAGAGACTGGAAACCAGGCAAATGGCACATAGGAGGAAAGTCCCTGAATCCTGCAAAAAAGGGGCCATGTGTCAGTGCTCTGGACTTGATCCTGATCTAAGAGGAATTTGTATAAGAGACATAAGGTCAGTTGTGACCCACTACCTCATACAAGGGGTACATGGGTAAACACACCCTGGGGTCACTAAGTAGAGCATAATATGAGCTCTGAAGTCATGGGAGGTAGCATATAGGGGCATATGGCTTGGCCCTAATGCAAGGAAGAGTGGACACAACAGTAGGGAGGGAGGAGATGTGTCTGATGGGCTCTGGTCACCATGTCTGGACACTAGGGGGCACTCATGGCCTGTCTCTGAGGATCAAGGGGGCTCAGAGCCACTGCCTGCTCATCCCCAACTTCCTCAGGCAGAGGGACCTGATCCAGGGTCACTGAGGGGTCAGAGAGCTGGGGTCTCATTTGCATGGATGGGCCCTCCCTCTCTCAGAGGGTGAAGAGGGGAAGGGAGAGATTAGGGGAGGCTCTGCTCAGCTGTGGGAGCACAGAAGGCAGGCTCGGTGATGACCTCCACCATGGCCTGGTCCCCTCTCCTCCTCAGCCTCCTCGTTCACTGCACAGGTGACTTCATGCAGGGACAAGGGAAGGGGCCCTTGGAGGACACATGGGCCTGGCTTCCTCCTCTTGTTTCAAAACCCCAGCATCACCCTCTCTGTGCGTCTCTCCCCCTTGCAGGGTCCTGGGCCCAGTCTCTGCTGACTCAGCCGCCCTCCGTGTCTGGGACCCTGGGCCAGAGGGTCACCATCTCCTGCACTGGAAGCAGCTCCAACATTGGGTGTGGTAATTATGTGAGCTGGATCCAATAGCTCCCAGGAAAGGCCCCTAAAACTGTCATCTATGGTACTAGCAGTTGACCCTCGGGGGTCCCTGACAGGTTCTCTGGCTCCAGGTCTGGCAATTCTGCCACCCTGACCATCACTGGGCTCCAGGCTGAGGACGAGGCTGAATAGTACTGCTCAGCGTGGGACAGCAGTGTCAGTGCTCACACAGTGCCCCAGGCTTGTGGGGAAGTGAGACAAAAACCTGCTGTTCCCCTAGCATTGGGTCTCCCTGTGCAGCTCCCACTTCTTGTCCAAATCAGCTGCTTCCTTTTTTTGTGCTAAACTATTGTCTGAGACCAATCTCGGTGAACTTTGACTACAAAATCATCCACATTCTCTTAAGTTCAGGCCCCAAAGCTTATCCTTTGCAGGAATGCATTTTAGGATTTTCTCATATTAAGGAGAAAGTCCTGGGTCCCTGGGGCAGGCTGCCCTGGGGACAGAGTCTGTGACAGCTCAGGACAGAAACAGAGGCAGAGTCCAGCTGTATCTGACTAAGGATAGAACACTGTCTAGATAATATGCATCCATACCACTTACTAAACACCTAGTATGTGCCCCACATGTGAGCCTAGGGATGTGGGACACAGATGGACATGATAGGACGTGTCCCCATGCTCAGGGAGCTGACAGTGTCTGGGGAAAGAGAGAGGACACAGGAGCTAAACATGTAAAGGAAAGCTGTGTCCCAGGAGCATGAAATGGGGTGAGGTCATTGGGGTGGTGCTGCAGCATTGGAGGGGTTAACAGCTTTGGAGTGGCTAACAGGGGACCCCAGTTCCCTCCCTCCTCTGAAACTTCCCAAAGTTACACATGTCAAAAGTTTGGCTGGTAGATTGTTCAGTTTTTTTGAACCTCTCCTGACAATAGGCTGGCTTAGTTAAACTCATTTCAGGAGGGGGTGATGCAGGTGTGTTCTCAAAGTGAAGCCTGTGGTTCAAGAAATCAGGTATTTTTTTTTAACCATGAGCTTTTATTTTTTATATTTATTTGACAGAGAGAAAGAGAACACAAGCAGGGGGATTGTGAGAGAGAGAAGCAGGCTTCCTGCCGAGCAGGGAGCCCGATGTGGGACTCGATCCCAGGACCCTGGGATCATGACCTAAGCCGAAGGCAGATGCTTAACTGATTGAGCCACCCAGGAGCCCAAGAAATCAGGTATTGAACAAGAGGCATTTTTATGGAAACAAATAAAAACAATGGTTAATGATTGGATCAAATTATAGCAGTTCCTGAGTTCTGAGAGTAGCCAGTGGAGAAGCTTTCCAGATATTATGTTCAAATCATCTTCAGATAGAGTGACAACAGGCTGTAACAATATGAGTGTTATCAAAACATCATGTGGTTTTTTTTCACAACCATCCTCATTTCTACTAAATATAGCCAAATTAACATTAAAATTTGTTTGCAAAATAAGTCTAGTTTCAAAAAGAACTTGGTCTGATTATTTACATAAGTGCAACAAGAATAGTAGTTGACCACATAGGCTCTTTAAAACATGTTTTGTTGGAACTGTTATATGAAACCTCTGGATTGAATGTTTAACAGCCCCTCCAGGCCAGAGGCTGAGCCAACACTTGTGCCAAATACTTGCCATTAGACTTTGCCTGCAACACCTGTAGACTTGGGTAAATTCCTCTCTTCTTGAGGTACCCAAAATATCTATGGTTCCTGAACCTGCCAGAAAATAAACTTCTTTGTTTAAAAATTTTTATTTATTTGTTTATTTGGCAGAGAAAGAGAGCACAAGCAGGGGAGTGGCAGGCAGAGAGAGAAGGAGAAGCAGACTTCCCACTGAGCAGGGAGCCTGACTCCCGCTCGATCCCAGGACCTGGGGATCATTACCTGAGCCAAAGGCAGATGTTTGACAGACTGAGCCACCCAGGTGCCCCAGGAAGTCACCTTCTTGACTCACCAGGTAGAGCTGCTGGAAACTGTGGAGGCAGGTGCTAACAGGCCGATATTTCCAAGAGGCTGCATTAGTTCACTAAAGTCAGTCTTAGTTCCTTAAAGCTGCCTGGTCATATCTGAGATTATGTGTATGCATATTTCTTTCAAATATGACATTCTTGTCAAATTATTGATAATATAACCAAAGTTTCCAATTATATGCTGTTACAAGGAAAACAGATTCTTATTGTACTTATGCTAATAAACATACCACAGTAAAATATGAGAATACTCACTGACAATTTCTGAATTCTGGAGGGATCAGGCAGGGAGAAAAGATAACTTAATTTGTTCACAAATGTGTATTTTATCAAGTTGTTATAGATCAGTTAGTGTAGGAGATGTTTCCTTAAATATGAAGGAAGAAAACATTTTGAAAAGTCAGCCAAACAAAAAGTCAAAAATAATAATCATCCACCTCTGTACATTATTTCATGTATTGGTTTTGTTCTGTTTGAATCCAGTTTTTCTATTAGTTCTCAAAATTTTTACTTTAGTTTGACTATCTTGAAGGTGTCAGAAACTTATATTTGTCAAAAGTCCTCCCCATGAATATCCTTGAAGTTAAAATTCATTTGCAGTAGCATCGGAGTAGAATGGTAACTGTACATGACAAAACATGAAAGTGGCCATGGCTTAAGACAGGATTAGAGTTCATTATGAGGCAATTGACAAGGAAATGTGGTAATTCCCGTGACACACAATACAAACACATATCAAAGGCAAATACACCAAGTTACATAGTTGTAAGCAAAATGTAGAGTTGTTTTTAATATTAAAAATTGAGTTTTGGGGGGCATCTGTGTGGGGCAGTTGGTTAAGCATCTGACTTTTGGTTCCAGCTCAGCTCAGATCTCATGGTCATGAGATCGAGCCCCACATCAAACTCCATGCTCAGTGTGGATTCTCTCTCTCTCCCTCTGCCACTCTCACTCGTGCTTTCTCTCTCTTTCCTCTCTCTCCCTCAAATAAATAAATAAATAAATCTTTTTGAAAAACCAAGTTTTTACTATAAATTAAGGTCCTGATAACCATAGGAAATATTTTGGCAAAACAGAGTACTTCTGTCTAGGCTGATAACTTTAAAATTGAATAAAAACTTTTTTTTAATGCAGAACAATAGTTCAAGAAAAGTTTATCCTTTTAACAAATAGAAAACAGAATTTTAATTTTGCATCCATATATTTTGATATTAAAATTCATTCATTTACTTAAATTTATCTTAATTTTAACCAGTATTGATCACACATAAATTTCCTTTCCAGATTCCTTTTCTAAAAACTTACTACAACTTTCTCTTATACACTTAGATTTTGAGCTAAATTTTCTTTCTTCACAAAACCAGCCTCACTTTAGGACAAATTGATATTTCTTTTCCCTTAACAAAATAGATATTCACATTCCTCATATTTTTTTTGTCCCCCAAAAAACCACATGTCTTACTTTCCTGGAACCCAGAATTGTGTTCCTTATTATTTCTAGGAGCCTAATTTATATTTAGTAGAATTCCTACCTCTTAGAAACTTTATTTTCTATTTTCTCTTGCCTCCACAGAGGCAAGAGAGGGAAAACTGAGAAGGAAGCAATTGTGAACTGTTTCTTATGCCAGTGTTTTTTTTTTTTTTTTAAGATTTTATTTATTTGAGACACACAGAGAGAAAGAGAGGGCACAAGCAGGGAGGAAGGGCAGAGGGAGAGGGAGAAACAGACACCCCGCTGGGTGGGGAGCTGGATGTGGGACTCGATCCCAGGACCCTGAGATCATGACCTGAGCTGAAGGCAGATGCGTAACCAACTGAGCCACCCAGGCACTCCTTATGCCAGTATTCTTTAGATTAGCAAGTTTATGAATACATTTCACAGTTTTTTAGAAACATAACACCATATTTCAATAAAGCACAAACCAGGTTTACTAACAGACCCATATTTATCACTATAGTTTCTCTGTAATATGACAAAAATAGAGTAACTTGTGGTTAGCAATTAATGTTTTTTTAATCTTAATTAACTTAGCAAAAAATAAAGAACTAAATAGTTAGGAAGGCTATACTCTCCATAGCAAGTGAAAGATTAAATTCAATCCCTATCAAACCCCCAAATTCCTGTTTTGCACAGTCAAAGATGATCTTATAATTTTAGTGGAATTAAGGAACTCAGAACATGCAAACAATCCAGAAGAAGAACAAATTTGTAGGACTCACAATTCCAGACTTCAATACTCACTAAAACTTACTTATAAAACTACAGTAATCAAGAATGTGGTACTGGCCTAGGGATGGATATACAGATAAATCAAACATATTTGGGAGTCCAGAAAGAAATCTCTCATCTATGGTCAATTAATTTTCAAATGGGTACTAAGAGAATTTAATGTGGAAAAATTGGTCTCTCCAACAAATGGTGCTGGAACAACGAGATATCCACACAGAAAAGAATGAAATTAGACCCTTACCACATACTACATACAAAAATGAATGTAAAATAGATCAAAGATTTAAATTTTTAATGCAGTATCTTATTTATTCTGTTCATTAATAACTAATACTCAAGAACATTTATAATATTAATAGAGCTTAATCTAAGAGAATCAACTTACTTTTTTTACATTTCACTATTGGGTACAGAGAGAGTTGAAATAATTATGGTCAAAATTATTACATAAAAAATTATAGGAAATGCTTGGTGTTATTCTACATACAATTTAGGTTTTGGCATAAAGTTTTTTGGTTGCAAGGAAGAACATTTGGTTTTCTTCACTAATAGGAATATCTCTTAATGCTGGGATGGCCTTTTCTTGGTATTTCTTCTGCTGCTGATTTTTAGCAAGTTATCTGTGATTGTATGAATGGAGTTGAATGGAGAGGTACCCATCATGTTTATTCCAAATAAGAGAACGTAACCAATTACGATAGTAATGAGGAGGTAGATGGGCAATCCAATTACCCGATATTTTTGAGGCCAATAGGTTAATCCTAAGGAGTTTACCCAAGATTCAGTAATAAATGCCCGCACAAGATACAGGATGAAGCCAAACTGGGAGCTTAAGAAAAGAACAAACCCTAAATCGGTTTTTCTGGCAATTGTGATGGTGAATTTCCCACCACTTCCCCTGTGGCTTTAGATAATCTTGGGTCCTTGAAGGGCCCACTCTGGCCCCTCCCGACAGCTCGCCACTTCAGCGCCCAGTTCCCCACGCAAGCGCCTTTTGCAAAGCCTCCTCGGGGGCAAGAGAGGGAAAAACTAAAGGAAGGGCCTGGTTGCTATGGCACCCCCCTCCCCGCCCAGGCGCAGGTGCACAGCGCAACCCAAAGATCTAAATTTAAGAGCCATAGCTATAAAAGTCTCAGAAGAAAACATAGAAGTAAATCTCGATGATTTTGGATTTGACAATGGATTCTTTACATATGACATCAGAGCACCAGCAAAAAAAAGAGGGATCATCAATTTGAATTCTCCAAATTCAGTATGTTTGTACACTATCAAGAAAGACAAAATACAACCCATTGAATGGAAGATAACATTTGTAATTCATATATTTGTCAGAAGTCAAGTCTCCAGAATGTGTTAGTAACTCCCACAACACAATAACAAAAAGATATCCTAATTAAAAAATTGGCAAATGACTTGTATAAACATTTCACCAAAGAAGATGTACAGTAGTCAAGAAACACTTGAAAAGGTGCTCAACATCAATATCCATTGACATACAAGTCAAACCCACAGTGAGGTACCACTTAATACCCACTAGGAATGCACTAACAGCAACAACAATAACATGAAACGTAACAAGTTTTCACAAGGATGTGGGGAGATGGAGCTCTCATACAAGGCTGATGGGAATATGAAATGGTGCACATGATGCTGGAAACAGATTGGTGAGTCCTCATTAAGGTAAACACAGAATTCCTGTATGATCCAGCAACTCCACTTCTAGGTATGTGGCCCAAAGAACTGAAAACAGGTACTCTAAACAAAACTAAAGTTGTCCACAAATGGCCACAGCAACAGTGTTCAGTGCTTCACTGTTAAGGATGACTGAACTGCAGGTTTCTGGAGCTGTGGTTACTTTGTTCTAGAAGTTCCCTTCTAAAAGGCTTCTTACTTTCCTGAGCAAGAGGGCCTGAGGAGACATGACTAGTAATTGTAACATGGTGTCCCAGATGGGATCCCTGAATAGGAATGGATAAATGGGTAAATCTAAGGAAATTGTAAAGACTATAGCCTTTTGTTACAAATGCATCAGTATGAGTTTGTCAGTCATAACAAACATGCCATACTAATGAAAATTGTTAATAATAGTGGTAGGTGCAGAATATATTGATAACATAGAATTCTCTGTACTATAGTCACAATTTTTCTGTAAATATAAAACTGTCTAAACTAAGGTTTATTTAAGAGAATAAAGGACATACACCACATGATCATCTCAATGGACACAGGAAAAGCACTTGACAAAATCCAATCCTCTTTCATAATACAGACACTCACCAAACTAGGCATAGAAGGGAACTTCCTAACCTGATAGAGCATCTGTGAAAAACCTGTACTTACGACAGTTAGTGGTGAAACATGGAAGGATTTCCCACTAGGATCAGTAAAAACACCATTATGCCTGCTATTACAGCCCTGGGAACAAACTCAGGGGCTCCATCTTATCTAAATGGGGTACGAACAGAGGCCAAGGACCCACAGGCCTGGATTCCCATGGAGGCAGCAGCGTCGCTCCGGGAGCACAACCTGGGACGCACGAGGAGGGCTCCGGGTGTGAAATGAACCCTCAGGTCTGAAAGCAAGACTGGACGGGTCTCTCGGGCCGCTGGGTCCGCCCAGCCCTGGCAGGCCCCGTCTCTCCCAGCAGGGATCTGGAGCCTCCTGGCCGCACACCAGCACCATGCTCCTCATCACGGGCACGCTGCTCGGCCCCTGAGAGCGCCAGGCCAGGCCTCCCAGAAGGCGGGGGCCCCCGGAGTTACCGGCCTCGCCTAGGAACACCTCCTCCGGCACGCTGCCGGGCTCTCGCCAATGATGTTGTAGGCCGTCAGGATAACCTCATTAAGCGGGTACTCCCTCAGACCTACAGGTGGAAGGAGACAGGGGTCAGCTGGCCCGGGAACACCTCCCTGCCTTGGAACCACACCCAGGGGCTGGGGGCAGGCCATGGGCATCCCCAGAAGGTCTGTGGAGGGGCCTCCTCCTCCTTCCCTGGCCCCGGACTAACAGCCACCGTGCGTGTCAGCGGACCCGTCCACTCTGCGCTCAGGGTAAAGGGAGCAGCAGGCCCTCTCCCAGAGGGGAGAGTGGAGGCGGCAGAACGTGAAGTGGGCTTGCCTTTGGTCCGGAACCTCTCCATAAGAACAGATGGAGAAAGACCCCGGCATTTAAGGGGAACGTGTACTGTTTTTATGTACTATTGAATATTTTATTTTTCCAATTTTCCAATTGCTTATACTTTGCTTTTCTCCTTGTAGTACTACTGAAAATGTCAAAATAATTGTTGCTCAAAGAATAGAAGTCATTCACTAGACCTACCCAGAAACGAGACCCTGAGTAACATCTAGCACCTAGACGTGATTTCCTCAAATCTTCCTCTTACTGAGATGTGGTCCTAAGACTCACCTAGCACGGATTATCAATAAACTAGGTAACTCCCACCTCCCAGGGGCATGATGGACTGAAGCAGGTTGCCAACCACCCAGGCAATGAAATGGGATGGCAGGAAAATACAATTTGATCATTGATGTTTTCCTGTCAGAAAGGTGTCAGAAAAAAGATGCGCTGGAATTGTGAAAGAAGATTCAAAATGAAGTAAGCTTTGCTAAGAGAGCCACTCAAACTAGAATGGAAAGGACAATAACGAAGTAAAGCATACGCACGTCCCCTGTTTCAATTTTAAGAACACCAGGCACTTTTGACTTCTGGCACCTGTAACTGCTCAGTTGCCACTGGACCACCTCCTCCAACACACCCTTCTCCTTTGGACTGAAAGAGAGACAATGTAACAGCTGTTAGCTGCTGGCAATCACCGTAATTCTTTCAAAACCAGTGCCTGTGCTTTTCCTTCATAAACCCACACTCCCTGCTCAAAATTAGGGGCACATCTGATTTCTCTCCACTCTGTGTCTCCCAGATGACTGTCCCTAATACCCCAAATTGAAGTTTCAGGTGTTTTCCACCATCTACTTCTTGACTGACAGGAATTATGGACAAATGCAAAGCCCACTTTAGGGTATCTATGTATCATCGGGTTACGACAAACATCAGAGGAAACCTGAAAATGACAAAGTACACTTAAATTCAGATTCCTGAAATTGATTTGTTTACAGTTAAATCTTTTGGAAAATTTGTTTCACAAGAATCAGCTCTGGATGTTGTAAATAAAATTTTTATTTTGACATCACATCAGAAATCCATCCATTGTCATCTATCATAGCCCATCAGGTACTCTAAACAGCTATACTAGGAATCACA